ACACCCTCAAGCGAACGCTCCTGTGGAGAGAGGGCACAGTACCATCACGAATCTCCTGGCTAAGTGGACAGAGGGCAAGCCTGGTCAGTGGCCGAAGTTCCTACGGGCAACTTTCTTCGTGGAGAATGTTACTGTAAAGAGGACTACCAAGTACGCGCCAGCCACGCTATGGTACAGGAGGCATGCCACCTTTCCCATAGAAAGCTTTATGAAGACGTGGAGGCGCCAGGACCTGGAGGTAAACCTGTCTTTCGAAGAACTGCTCGATATTCGGGCGCGGCAAGTGAGGGCGGCCGAAGAAAGATTGCGAGAGGCCGCTGGTTAGGGGGAAAGGAGTCGCATGGAAGATGAGATGAGGTGAGACCAGACGGCACGAGTAAGAAAGGAGCCATTGGCAGTAGGGGATATCGTATTATTATACGACTCCTCTTTGGAAAAACAATGGTCGAGGAAGCTTGACAAGAGATGGTTGGGCCCCTATAGAATATTGCGATGCGGCGAATTTGGGGCCTATAAGATCGAGGAGCTGGACGAGACATGCTGGCAGGATTCGGTATTAGGGACCAGACTGAAGAAGTTCGTGGCCAGGGAATAGGTAAAAAATTCTACCCTCCTCAGAGGAGACTGGTCCTTGAGATATCGCATGTTATGGTTTATGGTCAGGACAGGGGAGAGAGTAGGAAAAGGCATGTGTGTTGTCATAAAAACTTGATGAACCGATGGCTAACCTTGTTGTGTGCCTGCTTGCTTTCTCTCGCCTGTTGTGCAGGTCTAACTTTTCGAAGACAGCCATGCAGAGGGGCGGGAGGGGCGCGCGGCCACGACAGAGGCCTCAGGGAGCATCAGGAGGGGATGACTCGCGCAGACCGGTTGGGAGGGAGTCCATGCCTATCTTCGACGACGGTAACATAGAGTTTTTTCTGGACTCCTACCAGGCACATGCGACACGGGAGGGCTGGTCCGCCTTGGAGAGGATACGACACCTAAGGGGAATTGGGCGTTTTGAGGAGCCTATGACGCGCATCCGGGAGGAGGCTTTGACCTGGCAGGATGTGGAGGCGAGGATGCAGATGCTGAGGTCTTCGCCAATGGGACCAGATGGATTGCCTATTCGATTGGAGGAAGGCGATGCGGAGGAGTTCATCCCGGCCTATGAGCAGTATATGCGCGGCCAAGGGACTGGGCAGGAGGAGTGGATGCAGATGCTGCCCCTCTGGACGCGGAGGGCGGAGAGGTCGTTGGCGAGGCAGATCCGGGACAGGGCACGCGACTAGGAGGACTGCCAGACCCAGTTGAGACAGGCATTTCGACGATTGGAGCCCGAGAGACGAGAGCCCAGGGTGGAGAGACGACAGAGGAGTAAGAGGCCACGGGGCCCAGAGGTGAGAGGGACTACTACGACCAGAGGGGGCCGAAAGGCCTTAGCACAGCGAGAGGGGCCAGCAGAGGCCGCCCAGGCGGTGGAGCCAGTTCAGGCCGCGGGGCCAGCTCAGGCGGTGGAGCTACCCCCTACTTATGGACTCGAGCAGGTGGAATTTCGCCGAATCACGGGCAGTGATCTACAGGGCCCGCCGCCAACGTTACCAGAGGGGAGAGGCGGTGCCATTGAGGACGCCGCTCGACAGGTTGGAGGCTCATCTCGATGCATCCCAGTGGGGGGCGTCACAGGTGGGAGCGGACCGGAGCGGACCGGCACGGTATGAGCCAATAGAGGATGAGCCAGAGGAGGAGCCACCTGAGCCGGGGCCTGAGGCGGGGTCTCGCGAACCCGAGGAGCCGCAGACTGAGGGGGTTATCACTGTTGGGGATGATACCCCTCCTCCTACCCTGATTCCAAAACAGGCGCGGCAGTATTGGCCTGAATGAATTCCTGAGCCGGACAGCGAGGAGATGTTGGGGCCCCCGCCGGAAGCTACTACGCCACCCGCGACGCAGGCGGAGCCAGAGGGGGGCGAGAGGGCGAGGACACCTACTACTGTGGCACCGCAACTAACTGAGTCTACAAGTGCACGCATGGATGTGGAGGTGCCGACATCCGGGGAGCCTCCGCCAGGGCCGCCACCCGCAGAGGAGGGGACAAGTGAGAGAGATCCATTGCGAGAGGGTCACGAGGGGAGGACAGGGAAGCCACCGGGGGAGACGAAAGAAGAGAAGCGCGTGAGGGTGCAGGTACGCCTCGAAGAGCTATACAAGGAAAAGCTTAGGATGGAGACCTCAGGAGAAGCGCCAAAGCCGCCAATTGACCCTCCGACGAGCGAGCCGAGGATTAGTGAGGCTTGGGCCAGCTATGAGAGCGAGAGGGATGCGGCTCGCCTGAGGTCGCGAGAGGTAGGACAGGGGAGTGCAAGATTGGACGAGGCATGAGAGAGAGAGGACTTGGGATTTTCAGCCGCCAGGATGGAGATTGAACGTGCAGATAGGAGGATAGGTGAGGTGGCGGTCTCGTCCTTCCAACGGTACTCCATGCTCAGCGATGAGTTGGCGGCCTCGAGGTTAGAGGTGGGACAGTTGTCCACCCAATTGGCAGAAGAGAGGGCAGAGAATCAAGCATGGAGGTCCCGTATGGAAGTTAAGGAAGCGGAATGGGAGAAGGGGCTCCAGGACATGGCGGCGATGGTGGAGAGGCTCTCGGCCACTAAGGTGGTCGACTGGACGGAGCAAAGTCGGTWTGGTAYCTAGGGGGAGCAGGTACAGGGGCTCTTTGGCCGGGAAGGAACGACAGAGCCACCTCAGCAAGGAGGGATGGGGAAGGTATTCCTTGACCCAATAGAGGCGGCAGCACGGCGGGAGGCCGAGGAGGGGAGGTTCAGCTTTAGGACGCCCACGGAGTTGGCCTCGCAACAGGCCACCCCTATGACGATTGAAATCCCTGAGGGCGAGCCGGCGCAGGGACCCCAACCTCCAGTGGAGGAAGGGGGCCCCACAGAGGAGTCCCCTACGATCCTTTTGGAGATGCAGGAGGGTGCCCTTACGGGAGCAGCAGCATCCACTGAGCCGGAGGCAATGAGGGGAGAGGCGTCTCGACTGGATGAGTTAGTGGCGGGCCTGGCGGCTACAGAGTTGGACATGCCGTCAGGAGAGCCTCAGAGACAGAAGACCCCAAAGCGTGTGCCAGAGATAGGGGAGCTGAGGACGCAGTTAGGCTCTTGGGCTACTCGAGCTGACTCAGGAGAGCACATCTCAGAGCARCAGCAGGAAGTTATGAGCGAGTCAGCGACTGCCKYGACTCCCCAGCCTTCCGACCTGCATAGGGACGAGGGGGCGACTGCGAGGGGAGGAGTCCGCGAGGGTAGGCCACTGAGATTGGACACTCCAGCGTACCGACCCGAGGGAGGTGAGGCGATAGCAGGGCCGAGTACCCAGATGATGGAGGTGGGGCCTGCAGAGTCATGGAGTATGCCCCAGAGCCATGAGATGAGCAGGGAAACTAGCGAGACGCCGCCGTTGCCTGGGTCCCAAAAGAAGAAGAGGAGGTGTCGAGGGAGATCAGACGATCAGTGCTTCTTCTGCAAGGACGGCGTACATAGAGCTCTTGAATGCCAGAAGTTCCTTAAGGACAAGGCGGCTGGGAGAGTAACAGAGAGTGGTGGGAGAATGTACGACAGGTAGGGGCGAATGGTAGAGCGGGCTCCAGATGGGGGTAGGGCACAGTTATATAGACAGAACCAGGAGGCTATGAATGAGTAGGGACTGGTCCGCTTATATGACAGTAGGATTAGAGCTCCTCTGTACGCAGAGGCCGTGATAGGGGTGTACATACTCTGAGTTAGTCAGGGGAGTCCCGTTTAGTTGTATATACATAGGTGGCGGTGTGTGATCGGCTTGAGCTTTATGTGTGATACGGTCTAGGGGATGAGACTTAGTTGTATGATATCTACGACATACGCGATTTGCATTTTCAGTTGTGTGATTCGGATACTCTTACTTGTATCTTTGAGTAGGTTCTGAGAGTCCATGACACTTGGGACGTGAGTTTATCCTGCGGAGTGAGACAGTGGAGTGAGTATTTGAGTGTTTTCGGGGYAGGCATTTTGTTCCCAAATACACCCTACGAGTTGTGTGTTGAGGGTTTGAGTTGAGTGTCGTATTGAGACTTGAGGGAGATATTTTGCTTCTGAGTATATCTTTGATTCCAGACTCTGTGGGACTTATTCTTATGACGATCAYGACCACTCTCACACGTTTGGCTTTATCCCAATGAATGAGGGCTTTGTGTGAGAGATGTGTGGGATACATCTCATRAATGTGTATTGTGTGATTGTGATTGTCGTCTACTCTTCGGTATACTCGTGCGGCCTGCTCTTGGGTGGGCGGAACGGCCGGGTATAAGAGGAGGCAGTGCGGTCGTTTTTGTGACGGATGTATGAGGACCCTGAGGGGTCTTGCGAGCCTATAAGGCTCGGATGCTTACCATGCCGAATGTTTATGGCTGAGCTGTGAAGGGGATCCATAAGTTGGCCCCTTAGTTTGAGTTGTTTTGCGTTTAAGTTTGGGAGACGGCCCATAAGAAGACCCCTCAGTTGAGTTGTTCTATAATTGAGACCCCCTCGGATTATGGAAGGTGGGGATGTTGTTTATTGACAGCAGTGTAACCCAGGTCGCGTGATAGTCCATCCTATAAAGAGAGGGGTGGCTGGGAGACCTGCTGAGAGAGACCCCCTTCATGTGAAAAATGGGTGATAGATTTAAGGACATGGTAAACAATGTTTGAATGATAAAATCTGACGAGAGGAACTAGGGTTACGAGTTGGAATCATTGGTGGAACTGAGAAGGTCGCAAGTCAGTGCATAAAGATGTCGTGGGATGTGTGGCCTGCTGTCTCTGATCAAGTCAGTAGGCCATGGCCTCGTATGAGCCCAACGGTGAAATTGTTTGTGATTGTGAGAAGGGGCCGTGCCCTCTATGTTGTCTCATAGGGGGCTGATAAATACCCTTAAAAGTAAGGCAGATCCCTGCGTTGTCCCGCAGTGGCCTTGTGAGCTTGTTTTGCGACGCACCGCCTAGACACCTGTGCTAATCCTAAGGCATATTAAGGAATACCAAGCTAAACGGTAAAGGTTAACACCTCTAGGGCGCAACCCCTATTGGATGGCTGCAAGCCAGCACAACCTGGCTGCGGGCCCGCGTCTACCCACGGAGTAAGAGTTTAAGGGGTTATGCACGCCTCAGGGAAATTACTCCGGTGGGATGGCGGGGGACACGGTCGAGTCGTTCGAGCGCCCTGATTGAATGCTTATCAGGAGAAAACCTATCGTTGCATAACCAACGAAGGGACTGCCGCTAAAATAACAATGCGGTAGGCCGTAGATCTGGCTCGATTGACCAGACTATGGTGGACCAGGATCGAGACCTAGCATTTCTATACTAGACTGCAGAAGGAGCTGAGAGGAGAATTATATATGCTTGATTGTGAGGATTTTCGCGAGGGAGGCGAGAGTGCCTTCTAAGGTCTCGTCTAAGGCCCGCGTCCCCGTGGGACTCTGCTTACGAGAGAGAGTCTAACAGGGACACTCAACGAGAAGCCAGCGTTTGTCTAGGACGAAGGGAAGAGGACGGTTTGAGGTGGCCTTTGGAACTTATGATGTAGTATCGATGCGTAATACACCGACATCCTAATGTCAGGACACTGGAAAACCAGGTTGAAACCCTGGCGGCATATAGTTATGTTGGCACAGAATTGTTGGGGGCCTCAACCCTGAGCCTGTCGGCTAATCGGATTGGTTCCATTCTCGTCAGCATTTGGAGTGTGAGTGAGTTTGTAGCCTTTTGATTTGGCGTAGCGACAGGGACGTCGCTTAATATAGTCCGATAGGCTGTCGGCTCGAATACCCTTACAAGGGTATCCGCCCTGTTTTTTGCAAATGACAGGAAAATGGGTTTGATTGAAATAAGCCGTGCGAGGCACGACCTTATCCGGGACCCGCCCTGGTTAGGCTAGTGGGTGTGTGGGCGCGCAATATTAAGGCGCGCGTGTGATTTTTCTGATTGAGTGGGCGGCCGGTCTAGCCGACCTGCCCGGACCGTGTTATGGGCTCGATTAAGGGGTAAAAGTCCGGTCCCTAGGCGGCACGTGCGACCTACGGTAGGACTGGCACGCCGATAGGCGCGTGGGATGGCCACAGCGCGGTCCAAGCAGGTTGGCGCGGGTGCCTAGTGTTGGCACGCCGGTTGTAGGAAGGAAAGAGAGGGCCCAGGTTGTTTTTCCCAGGCCTAGGCACGGCGCGGCATCACTCTATATGGAAGTCCGCGCCCAACTATCTCAGGTTTGGGCTTAGCCCTATAGGTTACGACGTCGGAATATTGCCACGAAGACACAGGGATCGAGGCGGCGCGCGTCGACGCAGCAGTGGCGGAGCGTCAAGGAGAGCTGAGGGGGTTGAGGGCCCGGTGGGGCTGTTCCCCCTTGGTTTTGTTGGTAGGTGCGGCTATGGACCTGGCCTACGGGGCCGGTAGGGTACAGGTGGTTTTCACTCCATGTTTAGGATTTTTCCTTTTATATATGTTAAGTTTACTTTATTGCTATTTGTTATTTTTTGCTATTATTCACGGACTCGTTTGATTTAGGGGCGTGGTGGTGGAGCCGGTCGTCCAAGATTCGGGGAACCGCGGATGGGGTGCGGCTGCGCCTAGGACCCTTGGGGTACTCGTTAAAGCGAGGAGTGGGTCGGGGTGCTTGTCACGGTCGCGGCCTGTAGGGTATGGTGGGGGTACCGGCGCGGATCCGGCCTCGAGGGCCGGATCCGCGCCCAGGCGTCATAAGGCCGAGGGCGCTGAAGCCTCCAGCAGGCGGCGAGGGGCTGTGGGGTGTGGTCCTGGCCGAAGCCCCTCGGGAAAAAGGGAGAAAAGATTTCGGACGATACGGGGGAGTTCCGTCCGACTGCTGTGGGTAGGAAAGATACGTGCCAAAGTCAGGGAGTGAACCCGGACGCGAACCGGGTTAGGGGCGGGTGCCAGGTGGTGAGAGGGGTAAACAGACCGGGCGACTTTTGGTGCAGCCGCGGGGCACCGCCTCGGTCGGACTCGTTGGGACACCAGTATGAGATCGGGACGTGAAGATTCGTAGCGAATCCGGACGTGGGTTGCGCCGGGTGCATACGAAGGAGGGCGTGTCGGCCGGTGTGAAGTCCTTCGGGACGTTTGAAAAGACTGGAACGATGCAGAGGGGAGTAGCGTGGCTCCTGCACAGGGGAGGCGGGCATAAGTTGAAGAAATTCTGTCATTAGCTTGTTTTGTCTTGCTGTCGAAACGATTGGATGCCGCGCTGACTAGAGACCGCGGTATGCGGATTGTCGGTGATCACGGCACAACGGTAATCGGGGAGGAGGTGCTATGCGCTAAAGGCTATCGGGGAGGAACCCGGACGGGTCCCGCGGTGAGGTGTGTTCGGAGATGGTGGGGAGGATGAGGTAGGGCAGTGGGCGCAGCGAAAGCAGGCGCTAAGACGAGGGACGGAGGAGCGCAGTGCGGGAAGAAGGCGCGGAGCATTAGGAGGCGGGTGAAGACAGGAAGTGGGGAGTGGGATGAACCCGGCGGGGTTCCCCGACCAGGTGCATACGGGCTGAGAGTCGGAGGTAGCGGAGTGACGGGAGTACGGGTGACGGGTGGAGGGATAGTGATGACAACGGGGGCGAGACAGCAAGGGAGTGAGTCGGGGGTAGCGGGGTAATCGGCGCTGGGTGAGTGAATGTGGACGAGGAACGGTACGGGATGCATTCAGAGACGGAGAAAGGGGAGCAGAAGTGGGTTGCACGAGCTATGGTGGGAGGGAGGCTGGATACTGTTGCCCCTCGTGGCTCTGGGGCTGATCACCGCGCTCCCATAACGAACTGAGCTATGTTGCTAGGCTCGACTGGAACGATCGTTTTCGAAGTGATCGTCGTGGTGCAGTTCGCAGCCCGACGCTGGTCGTAGTTGTGAATTACGGAAGTCGTTGCCTCGAGCTGCTGATTTGGCCTCCTTTTGTAAGACTTCGTCAGTGTGAGTTTGGTCTGAACCTGGCCTGAGGAGTGGCTGGGCGCATTACACGAAGCAAGGTGTTGATTGCGCTGATCAGGTTATCACCAGGAGGCAACGAGCGAGCGAGGGCGTGGGGGAACGAGACAGGGATGGTAAGAGTCGGAGAGGGGGCAAAAAAGTAAGGAAGAGGTCGGATACTTACCAAGCAGGAGCGAACGCCCCCCGCGATTACGGGCGGCAGTACGGCTACCATACCAATCGAATGTGCTTAGGGCCCGGCCATTCGGCCAGGAAAGGAAGGGCCTTCCTCAGTTCTTTCCTGCGCTCGATTGTGCCTGATCGAGTTGTCCGTTGTATCGCTCAAAGCCGATGGGACTGTGGTCCGACGGTGATAGCCTTTCGAACGATACCGACCCTCATAGGGGTTGTAGTCCATCTTCTCGTATTGGGCACGGGGTGGAGCCAGTGGGAGAGTAAGGTTGAGCTCACCTGTATTGCTAACTGCGATCATGTACGGTAGCCTGCCGTCGAGATGAGTGGGCGGAGTGCAGCAATCTGTGTCATGTCGTGTGTCCTACTGGTACCTCACGAGTGGAGCAGGCCTGCAGGAGGGGAAAGGATTGTGTGTTGCCTGTAAACCAGTCTGCTAACCGGTGTATTATGCGAAGCCACCAAAAGTAGCCAAGGGACCGCAGACCAAGTTATTGGCCGATACCGTGCTAGTCTT